GGGGCTCGAGGGGCGAGGAAGGGATAGACTATGGAATCTACTTGTTAGCTTTCGCTCTGCCTTGAAGACGCGCCAATTGCCGAGAAGTTGCTGGAATTCCGAGTCAATGTCTTTTGATCGGGTCCTCAAGGCACCCTAAGAGAGGTTACTAACGTCGCTGGCATCTAGGCCGAAATGGGGTCGAACTGTACTCTTACATGGTGAAAGAGTGTCAAAAGCGGTAGGGCACCGTGATGGTGTGTGACCCGCGTGACTTCCGGGCTTGGCTTGATGAAGAATGTGTGGGTGTGTTATTCTTCAGGGTTAAAGACAAGGACTAGACGCCGGCCCGCATCACCGATGACAGCGCAGATCATGCGCTTTGTTCCCGCTTTGTCGAAGCGCCCGGACTTAAAAGACGCGTCGCGCTGGGACGCGTCTCCTGTCCTTCTTCCCTCCCTCGTCGACTCACTCCAGGCTCGCAGGTAGCCCGTCCTTCTTCCCTCCCTCGTCGACTCACTCCAGGCTCGCAGCGGCGACCTGTTTTTCTTTTCAGATGCTTCGCATTCATCGCAAGAGGACCCATTGCTGAGCCACTCCGCGCACTCAGCGGCTTACAATGTCATCACCATTCGTTCGGGTCACTGCAACTGGTCGACAGCGATCCAAGATTTTTGCTCGTAGTATTCCGCCAACGCCGTCCTTTCCGTCGCCGCTGCTACCACAGACAATCACCAGCTGCTCGCACTTCACCCGAACGTCGACATCATCATCCCGTCGGCAGCGTTCAAAACGCTTTGCAGGTTGTAGGGAACGGATGAGCTTGCAAAGGACCATTACACTGGATTTCCAAAGTCAATCGCCCCAACTCTCTACGTCGCACACGTCTACCCTCCCGTTCAATTCACCTGCGCCGAGCCCGCCGCTCCTCTCGAACGAGTCTGCCGCGCCTCCCCTTCTCGACTCTCTACCCGCTCAAATACAATCGGGGCTTCACATAACCCCACGCTCATCATTTACTCGGAATGGTGTTGCATCGACTCATCGCCAGCGCTCGAGGCGCTTCATATCCCGTGCAGAGCCAGGGTCCCGACCGCTCCTCATCCGTGAGTTCGACGCACAATCATACCCGTCCCAACCGCTGCCGTCTTCGGCATCCGCGCAGTCGACCCCGCCACCTGCGCCGAGCCCTTTGCTCCTCTCGAACGAGTCTGTCGCGCATCGCTTTAACGAAATCCCACACTCCTGCCTCTTCCCCGCCTTCCAAACTCCTGCTCCTCGACCGAACACCGATCCACGGGCGAACTCAGTGCCGTCTTCTCTAACCGCGCACCTTCCGTCGGTAACGACCCCTCTGCACCGTGATGCTTGGGAATTTTGCCTCAGCGAATACCCCGATCGCTCCTTCGTCAACTCCCTCCTCCACATCATCGACCACGGCTGCGACATTGGTTTCATCGGTGACCGTAGCATCTCGCAAACCTCTGCCAACCTCCGCAGCGCGTTTGAGCACCCTGACGCCGTATCAGATACCATCTTGACACAGCTAGCTGCCGGACGTCTCGCAGGTCCGTACATTGAACCTCCATTCCCCCGCTCGCGCATCTCCCCTCTCGGTGTCGCCGTTCGCAAGCAGTCTGGCAAGCTGCGCCAAATCCATCACCTCTCGTGGCCTCGTGGACACTCAGTTAATGATGGTATCCCTGACTCCGAGGCCAGCATCGTCTACGACATGCTCGCCAAATCCATCAACGACCTTCGCGCCTCAGGTCCCGGCTCCCTTATGATCAAGTTCGATCTTGAAGCCGCCTTCCGTCACATTCCTATCCGCCAGGCCGACCTCCCTTTACTCGGCTACTCGTGGAGGGGTTCAATCTACTATGAACTCTTCCTCATGTTCGGCCTTCGCTCTGCACCATATATATTCAACCTCTTCGCCGAAGCCCTGCATTGGATTTTGCAGCGGCACATTCCCGCATGGCTCCGCCATTACCTCGACGACTTCCTCCTCATATTTCGTCCCTCCACTCCTCCGTGGATCGTTCACGCTGCCTTGACTTGGCTGCGCGGCCTTGTCAGTTTCCTTGGCCTCAGTCTCCAAGACAAGAAGACTGAGGGGCCCTCAACTCGTCTCGAGATGCTCGGTATCGAGCTCGATTCCACTGCAATGGAGGCTCGTCTCCCACCGAACAAAGTGGCATATCTCAACGACATGCTTCGTCTCTGGCGTACCAAAACTCACTGTACGCTGCGCGAGCTGCAGGAGTTTACCGGCTACCTCATTTTTTGCTCGCAAGTCATTCCTCACTCGCGGGCATTCATTCAATCACTATTCGACTTCACCTCATCCTTCACATCCCCGTACGCTCGTCGCCATCTCACCCGCGCTGCTCGCCGCGACATTATCTGGTGGTCGAACTTCGCGACCAGCTGGAACGGTGTTCATATCATCACTCCCCTCCGCACCCAGGTGCACATCTATACCGACGCTAGTGGTGCTAAGGGCGCAGGCGGTGTCTTCCAAACGAAATGGTTCTCCATCCGCATCCCGAAACGCTACCGCACCCATGATATCAAGTTCAAAGAGCTTTTCGCCGTCGTCCACGCCCTACTTTGTTGGGGTCCCGAACTTTCCGGCTTCCACGTCACTTTCCACATTGACAACACCAACGCCTTTCACGCCCTTAATAACCTTTCTATCCGATCCACCCCGACAATGCAGCTTCTTCGCCAATTCCTTGTCCTCTGCGCTCGATTCGACATTACATTCACACCGCTATGGATTCCCAGTGAAGAGAACCCCCTCGCCGACGCTGCTTCGCGTTTCCAATTTACTCGGCTCTTTGAGCTGAATCCGTCTCTCTCGAAGAAACCCAGTGTCAAGCTACTCAGCCTTGCCTTCGACGCCATCCCCGACCCCTTAATTTCTCGCCCCCATTCGTAATTCGTGCGCCGCCGCATTCTCTGCCTTTCTCATTCACTCTACTCGTTCCCGCTAACCTCACATCCACCCTTCATCGTCACGCCATTCCCCATTCATCCCCCGCTACTCCACCGTCTCAACCGCTGTCCCAACAGACTTTCTTCTTCCTATCCTATTACATTATCTCACACCGTGAATCACCCTCGATTACTCACATTTATTCTTCGCATTCCCGTCGCTACCCCACTACTTCCGCGCCGTCATCACAGTACACACAGATTCCTTTCTAAACCCCCGACACTCAGGTTATCCCCTCATGCCCTATGCCCCTCGCAATGGCTTCTCGACTCCACGTCTCGCCCAACGCGACCATCTTGTGCCCCCAGTATCCCGTACCATCTCCTTATCCGCATAACTCGCACATCAGCCAACCTCCCTACCGTACTACCGCCGCCTACGCCTCTCTCCCCGCAGCATCCGCTGCGGTCGTTGAAGCCGCTCTTGCCCTCCTCCTGATTTTGTCTCTCGCACCGCTCAAGGCTCGGCGGAAACGTTCTCGAGCTCACGCTCACGTTTCCTGCGGCCTACCCCGCTGCTTCGTCGACAAGCTATGGTTCAGCTCACCTTAATTCCCGTCGTGCCCAGTTCTTTCGTCACATCACAAACCGTCATCCCGGAGTATAAACTGCACCTTATGCAAGAGTTTCTCCACATCCCATCCGGCATCGTGTCACCCCTTTCACGCGGCTCATGCTCCTCCCCTTCCAACCACCGACCCTCCAGCATTCGATCCTCATTATTTGCACATGGGCACATCACTTCCGTCATTCCCGTTCCTCCGGCCCTCCACTCCTCATCCTCCGTCATGTTGGCCCGTTCTGCTGCCCATTCGGCACAGAGCCTTCCGAGGCGGCGCTTCGTCGGCTTCGTCAGCCACAGCGCGCGGGCTCTTTAGACCCAATCAACCGATTGCGCCCAGTCTTGACGCGAATTTAATTGATGAAGAATGTGTGGGTGTGTTATTCTTCAGGGTTAAAGACAAGGACTAGACGCCGGCCCGCATCACCGATGACAGCGCAGATCATGCGCTTTGTTCCCGCTTTGTCGAAGCGCCCGGACTTAAAAGACGCGTCGCGCTGGGACGCGTCTCCTGTCCTTCTTCCCTCCCTCGTCGACTCACTCCAGGCTCGCAGGTAGCCCCGTCCTTCTTCCCTCCCTCGTCGACTCACTCCAGGCTCGCAGCGGCGACCTGTTTTTCTTTTCCCCTCCCACCGTCCCTTTCACTACATTCCACTTGTTTCTATAGCCAGTTTTCCCAGTCGTACACTCGTAGTAAATTACTCGCCTGTCTCCTGTAGTAGGCCCGTTCTGCTGCCCATTCGGCACAGAGCCTTCCGAGGCGGCGCTTCGTCGGCTTCGTCAGCCACAGCGCGCGGGCTCTTTAGACCCAATCAACCGATTGCGCCCGTTCTGCTGCCCATTCGGCACAGAGCCTTCCGAGGCGGCGCTTCGTCGGCTTCGTCAGCCACAGCGCGCGGGCTCTTTAGACCCAATCAACCGATTGCGCCCAGTCTTGACGCGAATTTAAGCTAATATATAATAGCTTGGCCCGAACCACTATGGACCAGACGCTCTTGGGACGCCCCAGCTCAATTTTCTTGCAATTCTGCCACGAATTCGACGAAGCAGGAACCCAGATGTTACTTCGGATTATTCTATATACAGCTCTCTAAGCTCTCGTCTCGCTGGAACCCCGACTCGCGCGCCACGAAAGTATGAGAGCTATAGTGGGCAAGAATACCTTCATCGCCCACCGTATTTTCCTTCGCTCCGGACCCACGCAAAGTAGAGCTCATCTGTGTCTCACCTCACTGGCTCTCGTACTCGTGGTCACAACCCAGTACATTTAGTATGAGGCGTCAGCCATCAATTCCGTGGCCTGGAGAATCCCCAACTTGCCACTGCCACTGGGCCCCAAGAAATAAAAATTCCAGGAATTGGGCAACAAAATATATATATCGTCACACTTGTATCACCAGACTGCGCGGGCCCGAAGCCCCCAGTCCCTAACGCCTGGGAACAGGTCAGCGTCAGCCACAGTTGCCCAGTGGGAGTCGAACCCACAACATACGTCCCTGAGACGCCGTTTGGAACAGGAACGCACCTCCTGCGCCATGGTAACATTAGTTGTTGTGTGAGACAATGCACCATAGGATGTTTCAAGTCCACAAGGCGTGCGAGAAACAGTGATCGCGAGTCGGGGTCTCACCCTACCGTACAAGATCCTTTCCCCACTTGTTTGCCTAATCGTCCGCAAGCCAATTCGAGGAAACGAAGGATGGAAATGATTTTGGAATCCCACAGCAGCCTGACTGAATGCATGGTTTCGAGAATTATTTTCTGCACTAACACCGGTGTAGACAAAATTGAAATCTTAGACTTGTCTCCGGACCTGGTAGTCGAGGGGGTCTGAGATTCCCTGAGTCATTATGCAAAAATCCCGCATTGGGGTCGATATTGTTGATATGTCACAATTCGCTTCCGTCTCCCACGCCGCGCCAATTTTTCCGACGTCTATGAGACAGGCACCATTGGGAAAAGTGACGGCGCCATTTAGGTTTTGACCGGTTGAATTCGTGGGCCGAACGCGAAGAAAGGGAGAAAGAAATGTGTCGTGATTTGCTTGGAAAAACTGCTTCGCCGATGAACCGCCCCGGTCGCCCGACTGCGTCACTGCAACTTTGACCACATCGAAACAGCAATCAAATAAAAAGCACTACATCCCCCGCGCCCTAAGCCATTCCCCATTCGCAGTCCCCAGATACGAATTCCAATTCCCAAAACTCCTGCAAATTCACAAAATTATCTCAGTTGATCGACCCAACGCCTCCATCCAAATCAAACGGACACTCACACAAAATCCCCCGGAACAGCCGTCCACAACGACATCAACTCATCCTCCAACACACTCTTCGCGGGATTCGCATCCGCATCAGCGAGCAACTCCTCTATAGACATCCCTGGGTGGAAGTCGGATGATACCGGTGGTGACGATGCTGATAAATCGAAGCTCGAAGCGGCCGACGACAAAGAGTCTGAACCCCCTGAGAGCGTTGTCGAATAGTATGTGGCTCCAGATAGCAAGTGATGTTGCGGGGCGGAGGATTTGACGTGTCTAGATTCATCATCGATGCGCCGCTGGTACTCGGTGAGTTCGCCGACGCCCGCGAGAGGATTGAGGTGACGATTCTTCGGGGAAGGTGTATTAGAGGACGAGATCTCTTGAAGAAGGTCTCGTATTCGACCGAGGGGCTGATATCTGTAGCTCCAAAGTTAATACCGAGGTGGAAGAAAGAACGATACAGGACTCGCCTTGTTTCCCCACTCTTGAGTGTTTCCAACGCGGTCGCAATCAGAGCCGAATCCCGCCATTTATCGATAACGAGCCCGACGCGTTTGGCTGCGAGTATGTTGAAGGTGAGGATCAGTCCAGCGACGTGCACACAATTCTGTTTCGAAGGACGAGGCTTAAAGAGCCGCATCGATTAGCCGGTACTAACTCACAAGAATCGAGAGCGAGGGTATTCGTGGTATCTTGTGAAGCGCAACATCAGCTATTCGAAGGATGGTCCGTGCTGCGTTGACGCAAATGGAAAGTGACGTGGAGCGGAGTGTGTTTGACTTGTGGATATACGGCCGGTGGATCTGACTAGAAACGTGAGCTCGACAAAGTGGATTCGAAATTCTACTGACCACGATATGCAGATAGTGATAGGTTACGTTAAGGACAACGGACTGCTCGAAGAACACTCCCTCTTGCAGCCGTTCTGGATCCCACTTCACTGCAAGAAGAACATGTTAATCGACGATATACGGTGGACGTAGAACGCACGATGAGATGGAATCGAATCCAAAAAGTCATTCATGACGGAATCAAATTTCGCCACCGTCTGCTGTTCCCAGTCCTTACTATCCCAGCCCATCAGAAGTTTGGCCTTCTTAGTAGCATATAGTTTGCGCATCGCATCACCCCAGATCTGTTTGTTTCATTTCAGAGATAGAACGCTGTCGCGAGAGCCAGTTTACGCACCTCCCCAAGCTTCAAGTCGTATACGAAGAACGACATCTGGGACGGCTTATCTGGTGGTTGTATGAATCCCTGGTCGAAGTACTCGTCATCGACTTCCAGCGGGGGTTCGACATCGTAACTGCGGCGAGGTCAGTCATAGAGACGCAGTCGTCTCGAAAAAAGGAACCGTACTCCTCGGTGTGCAGACTCATCGGTCGGCCGGCGAAGCCGCTGACCATGCGGTCTAAAAGGACGAACGACCTGGATACTGTTAGAGCGAAGACTGCAAGTATAAATCGTACACACCAGAAAGCCCGTTTCCACAGCTCGGCCTGCAGATCCGGCTCGCCTGGACGCTTTCTGTGAGCACCCCGATGATGTAAACAGCGGATTCCAAGCCCCTGGCAGCGGATACTTTACGACTGTCTAATTTTGAGCGGATGAAAAGACACACCAGATATAGCCACGAATTTTGGGGCGCCGATATACCGCAGGAGTACATGGACATCAACTGTCGAGCCCGTGATGAGTGGTTGGTTTAATCAAACGGAGATACCGGCGTACACCATACATTTGAACGTCGTAGATCGTAGGTTGGAAGTTCTTGGGCACAAACCAATTCAGAATTTGGTGAAAGAATGTCCAGCCCGCCGAAAGTAGGGAGGTGTCCCCGTTGACGAAGACGCGGGGGTCTTTTGAGTACTTGACCATTGACCATTAATTCAAAAGAATGCAGATAGCATTGATTGTGCTCACTCGCGAAGCAACAGCAAGCAAAGCAAGCAGCGCCCCACCGAATTTCGCGTTGGTAAGATGTAGACCGTCCTCTACTGACCTAGAAAACGAGGGAAAATGTAGAATGGGAAAAGTCGGGTGCACGTTGATAAGGTATAGTTGTAGAAGCGACTGCATCAAGTCTTTGGCAGGGTACATATATTTCGGATGCTCAGCGTATGCATCTCTTTCCCACTAAGCAAATCAGCGGTGGCCGGCACACAGCAGTCAGAACTTACTGGTAAGAGATCCCAATATAGCGGCCGCCGCGAATTCATGAAAAACAGAGATCCCTCGTCAGTTTCCTTCATCTGTTGAAGTGTAAATGGGTGGAGAATTCGCTGGACTAGAAGCGGCTGACCGAAATGACGTGATCGGCCAGTGCAAAGCTACTGGCTGAACCGAAGCATTCTTGTTTGAAATCCGGGTCATCCATTTCAAACCGACGAAAACGCGAAGCTAACTCTTCCACTGACTCATCAGACTCTGAAGCGGAGTCTGAATCCTGATCTGCGTCATTTTCCGGATTGAGGGCATCAGGACTCTCGAAGACGGAGGCGCTTCTCGTCTTGTCAATTAATGGCTGAGCGCATAACGAACAGACGGAGATTGCTCGTAGTCTGGCTTTCAAAGCGGCAATCTCTCGCTCCAGTTCCTCCACCACACTGCAAAGAGTTGAGAAACTGTTTAACTATAAATCTGCGAAACCCGCACTTGTCCTTTCTACCTCGCTTTTTGGCTGGTTCATCATACGTACATGGTGTGCCAAATGATATACAGTTTGAGCAGGAGCTGTTTGGCAGGTTCTGGCCATCACCTGCGAGTACAGCGTTAGAGAAATCGATGACACTGCTGGTACTTGGCTTATATTACATCGACCTTAATGAATTTGATGATTAAACCTTCAACTCTCTCAACAAGGAACGTTGGAAGCGGTGTTTACTCACCCTTTCTACGGCGGCAGTTATCGCAGGAGCGACCAGGGCGGCGTTTCCTGAGAGAAATACGCTTCTCCGAGTCGGGCATGGCGAGAGTCAAAGGGAGAGTTTCGGACAGAATATTACTAATTTAGCCCGGCGCGTGGTCGGCCGATACATGGCGCGTCACGTCGGGATCAGATGCCGAAATGACAGAACCACCCATTGTCATCACCACTCATCTAGATCCACCACGCTTGACCCTCAGGCTGCAGCTTGTGTTGAACTCTGAGTGTCGACCGGCTCTTCTGTGCCTACATATCACTTTGCCACTGCTTCTCTCTCGTCCAAAGTCATGTTGGAGGTCACTGCAACTGGACCGAACTTTTTTGGCGGAAAAAGATGTCCAAATTCTAGTCTCGTAAACCAGACTTTATACCGGGCGATGAGAAGACAGTCGTTCTCAAGGACCTATATAAATCCAAATTCTCGAGATCGAGACGCAAATATCGAAACTCCAGGCGCAGATATCACCTCTTTAGGCTTCAATATCGGTACTGCGCACAGCTAAGCAGCCTGCGCAGACCCATTTAGATTCATACAAATACCCCGTCCTCAATTTACCCCCCGAAATCGTCGCCGAGATCTTCCTCCATTTCCTACCAACCTATCCGAAGCCCCCGCCTCTCACGGGCATTCGATCACCTATATGTTTGTCCCATATATGTCGTCAATGGCGAAGGATTGCGCTTTCCACTTGCGCGCTATGGAGGGCTAACAATTTGACTCGGCTCGCCAGCGGCGACGGACAGCTTCGGGAGAAGGGAGCGACCTCCTTGGCTCTTTCGTGGTTAGAAAGATCTGGTTGCACCCCTCTATCAATTTTTGCGGCCGACTGTCATGAATCAGACCTCATCATATCGATTTTTGGTGGCTCGTTTGGAGCACCTCAGCCTGTCGGCCAAGAATTCGACGCAACTACGCGGAATAGCTCTGACTCCCATGCCATTGCTTCGCACCTTGGATTCGGATTTTATACAAGCCGTTTCTGAACCATTCATGTTTCCCAATCAACATCTACCGCTTCTGCGTGTGGTCGTCCTCGACGACTCTCAGCGGCCGAGCGTTGATCTACCTTGGTTCCAATTGACATTCCTCAGATTGTGGTTTATAACCATGGAGCACTGCATATCAATTTTGCAGCAGACACGGCACTTGGTCGATTGCACGCTGCAATTTGTGGCAGAGCGTAGTTATGGACAATACCCCGACGTCACGGACACTGTGCTACCTTCACTGGAAAAATTGGTCTTCGAACATGACAGCGACCACGGCACGGGGCCTTTCCTTAGTTTCATCGCCCCCGCGCCTCGCCACTTGGAAGTCATCGAAGGTCTCCTTGGCCTCTCAGGAACTATTCCG